GGGCATAGTGGTTTAATGGTTAGCCCTGACTGCAAGTGTTGGTTCTGTCATAGTGATACCTAGGTCAGCTGTAAAAATGAGTACAGAAGGCTCTGGAGAGTTTATCTCAAGGATAAATTAGTCCTAAGGTTGAGAATAATGATCTGGTACATCTGAGATAACTAGTGATATTAATACAAGTTACAGGTTCAGAGGGTTTAAAGTAAAACATCCAAGCAGGGGTGTTAGGTACAGCAATTGGTAGAGAACCTTCTAGTAGACTTTTTAAATAGGTAATATAGAAAAGTTATATATGTAGCTAATTGTACGCTCTTCTGTAGTAGTTTATTAAATCACAATACCGATAAGTGATTAATAAAAGTTAAAAGACCAAAGAGGTCACCTTAATACTAAAAATAAATAAATAAATAAATAAATGTATTAGTTCTTTTATATTATTAAAGATTATTAATTTCTTCTAAAATATTGTATATAAGAAAATAATATAGATCTATGTAGTTAACACCTCTCTTAATCACATTGACTATATCAAAAAGATGTATTTAGTAAATGGAATCTTATATTAATACTAATAAAATCATATATTTTTACCTGTATACATACATTATTTATCTGTTGAGTTGCTGAAAAGGTATGCAGGATAATATAAACCTATAATTTCTTTGACCTTGAGTTGATTCTATATTATTTAAAGAATTCTTGTATGATTAAATATTATAAACTTGTTAATTTTATTCTTATAATTCTGTTTAATTTGTCTAGATTATGACAGGTCTTAAAAATAAATATATTTTTTTAAAAATAAAATAAAACTAAAGATAATAAAAAAAAAAAAAAACAGAGTTTTTTGAAGGTTATTGGCAGACTTTATATTTTAATTTATATTGATCAGAAAATTTTCTTAAATTTGGTATAAATTTAGAGGTGACAAAGATGTAATGACTTAGTGAAGTGGATAAGTTATCAACTCTTCAAGTGATAGGTTGTGAGTTTAAAACCTATAAACAGTAAAAATTTAAATAATCACCTATATAATATTTGTATTATAATAACTATTTCTAATGATTGAATTAAGATACCTGTAATTATGATCATATTAGCATGACTGGCAGATCATAAAACATTTGTGTAACTGATTATACAGAGAAATACAAACTGGCATCAGGTAGTACAAACCCAAAATAAGTTCTTGTAATTGTATAAATTTATAGAAATTAGAGAACAAGAAATTCATTTAGAAAGATCCAAGTAGAAAGGTAATACAGATCTTTAACAATACTACTGTAAAGACTAGACCTAGAAAATAAATACCAATGTGAAGTACCTGGACAAGCAAAAACCTTTAGATAGGAGGTACTACCAACTAGGTCACCAAAAGTCTAATTAGAAGAACCAAAAAAAAAAGATATCAAACCAACCTGATATACTAATAGACTGGTTGTAATTCTATTAGACTATCTGGATTAAGAGTTTAAAGAAAAAACAGAAGTATATTAAAAGTATTAAGGATATACTATGAAGTAAGTGTTAAGGTTTGGGTGAACTCTGCAAAGGCAAGCCCTATTAATGTTTTATAAAATAAGTAGATAGTTAATAGAAGGACTCTTAAAGTCTTATAGTCAGGTAACATGCTCTGAAATTAGATAATAACTTAACAGATGTACAGAAAGAAGGCAAAATGTTGGGTTAGTGGCACTTAGGTATATAGGAACCAGGATAGTTAATTGTCTGGATGCAATATAAAAACCAGAGAATTTAATTAGATAGTTTCCTAACAGATTATAGGTATGACAGCTAGTGTAGAACCCTTAGGCAAATTACTTAAATAGGTAACCAAAAGTTACATGCATGTTTAGTTGTATGCTCATCCTGTACAAGTAATATATAATGTATTTACTAAAAGCACAAATAAAGACATTAGTTGCTATTAATATTAGTCTTAATAAAAAAAAAAATTTACAAATAACAGTATCATATTAAAAGATATAACTATTTTCTTTTAATTCTAATTTGACCAAATAAAATTAATGCTATAAAAACTATCATGATCCATAAATAAAACATAACCAACTGTTTTTAATTTTGAATCTTGCCAAATATTCCAATGATCATAATTAACTAACTGCTTTAATCTATGTTTATCAGTTTTATTTTGAAATAAACAAGAATACTTCTGTTGTACAGAACTATATCAGAAAGAAGGCTTATGCTCAAAAAGAAAAACAAATATATTTTCTGAAAATGCAGTAATAGAAACTTGTTTTGTGCCTACTGCGTGCCTATTAAAACCAAGACACTTTTTGATAAAAACTATAAATGCGTCTTGATAAAATGTGATTTGCTCAAGAAGAGGTTGAATAAGTAAATGGTAATGAGGTATAATTTTGTTGTTTCGATGTTTAGCTCTTTCATGAATTGCAAGCCTTTTTTGAGAAGGAAAATTTCTTAACAAAGTAGGCATTTACTAGCCATCGAAAGTTAATGCTTTTGCAGTATTGTTATTTGTTAATACTGTAATATGTATCAAAATTTAAATTATTACGATCAAATTTTTGATTGATTTAATTGGTTGATAATAAGTTTTGATCATCATATGTGATAAATCGGATTTTGTCACATACGAAATGGAGTCAAATCCGCCCATACGTATAATATTACAGTTCTAAAAGTGAAAACTTCAAGAAAAAGTTTATACAAATCGATAAATACGCATTATTTATTGGTTTATATACGTATAAAAGATAGATAGATGCATATAGAGTAGAGTCAAAATGGTAAAACAAAGCTTGAA